GGGGGAGGAGGGGAGGAGGGGAGGGAGGAAGGGAGAATGATAGGAAAGGGGGGGCCGTTACCTCTGCTCCGAAAGAGGAACCAATCCACTGTGAAGGACGCAGAACTCCCGAGCAGGAAAGACATTGCACATTCAGAGAGAGATTGCATGTGAAGACACTGCAAAAGAGACGGAAAGGAGGGGGGGAGTGGGGGGGGCGCAGACCGCGTGTGAAAGGCATAGTGTGTGTAAGAGAGGCCAGCGAGGGTAGGAAAGGAAGGGGGAGCAATTGCACACGGCAAGAGAAAGAAATCACTCATTCGCTTGAAAGAGGCACTCGCAAGGAGACCGTAGTAGAAACAACGGGGAAGGAGACGCAGGCAAGAAGGCGAGCGTCCATGCCGTGCAACAACCTGGAATCCGATTAAAGTTTATGGCGGGGAGGTTAAAAACGCTCTCATCCCGCCCCTTCCCTGGCGAATACATTAAGTTTCCTGGCTGCATTTAAAAACACAAAGGGACGGGAACAGCGGGACCTGCGGATCGCAGTTGTATTTCCAGCGCAGGGAGCCAGTGTAATGCAGTATGCTGGTATTCCTACGTACTGGCATGTCTGGATCTTACACTGTGAGCAAAATTTCCTCCTCGCGGAGCTCCAGAACAGCGAGGGGGAATTTTGACAAATTCAAGTTGCTTGGCAAATATAATAGGGATTTGGTACTAATCCTACTTAACCCGCTGCGAAGATGCTGCGCTCCCGAGCCCCCCTCCTCCGTCCGGGACTGCGGCGGTGAGCACTGAGCCTGCGCCGAGCTGGGCTTTCTCGCTGATGCTGCAGATAGAAAGCCGAGTGTCTCCAGCACCGGCGGGGGAGGGTGTTCGTGTTCTGGCGAGGCAGAGCGGCCGGGGCCGGTGCCAGGGCCGGAGGAGGCTCCGGAGGAGCAGCCCTGCAGCCCTCCGGAGAAGGGAGCAGTCCCTCCCTCCCTAGCGCCGACTCCATGCGGCTCGGCTCTGCCCCTCCGTGCCTCTGGACTCCTCAAGGAAAGAGGTGGCAACCTTCCCTCCCTCCTACAATCACTCACCGCCCCAAATGACAAAGACACGCTGTGACCGCTGCTTTGAGCCACCTCAACGTATCCGGCCGCTTTTCGCTTAAATATATCATCGCGATGAAAGAGACATTTCGCTACATTGGTCTGCATGCGTTTTTATTCAAAAGAGCCATGTATACCGAGGATTGCACACACAAACACACACAGAACGCGCACGTACAGAACTTGCTTTCCCACATGTGTTCACAGAGGGAGAAGGAGCAGCTGGATTCCTGCCTTCCCCTGGCTGCGCGCACGCACACAGGCGCACACACATGTACCCGCACACACGCGTGTACTGGCACACACACACACCCGCACACACACACCCGCACACACACATGTACCCACACACACATGTACCCGCACACACGCACATACCCGCACACACCCGCACACCCTCATTCTCTTCCCTCTGGCTGCCCCGAGCTCGGCTGCCCTCGGAGTCTCCCTCTTTTCCCTCCGGGCTCCGAGCAGAGAGGACAGGTAAGGAGCCAGGCATCACCAAGGGTAGGGCGGGAGCACACAAAAGCCATACGCGATTAAATGGCTCAAAGTCAAAAGGAGACGCGAACTAGAGACGTCAGAATAAGCGAAGTTGAGCTGGAGAGCTTTACCATTAAAGTTTATTTCCCACTTACCCAGGTAGGTGACGCTACATTTTAGCAATCATCGAAGCAGCAAGTCTGTGTTCCGAAATAAATCTGTTACTTCTTACATGTGTTTCTTCTACTAACCCTCTCGCTCCCTTCCTGATCATATTCTCCGAGGGGTTTTTTTGTTGGTGTTTTTTTTTTTTCTCCTAGGATACCCACAAACATGCTGAAAAGACACATTCAAAACATGGTAATAGGAAGAACACAATCACAAAGACCGAGAGGCTGAAACAGCACTGGGAAACAGGACGAAAGTCTGAGATCTAAGGCAGTCCCCCTTCCTCCCTGGAGTTTTATGCAGTTACAATGACTGCAGCTATTTCACAAAAGCACCGACACGACAGGGGAAGGTGGGAATCTGCGAAACGAGTTTCCTTACCAGCTTGATTCCGCAAAATGCAGAATAGAAGAAAAGAAAGGCGAACAAACATTTGCTTTAAAAAATCGTTGCTCGATTCACAGTCTATAGCGGACGTGGGGAGGGAAAGGGTAGGAGAAAATCACTACAGATCACGGGTTTGAGAAAGCCACAGAAGCAACACTCGGGCGTGAAATGAGGATCGGTTTTGAGGACAGAACTGGTGTTTTGTGATGAGCAGCTATCCCACTTGCAGCACTAGCAGCAGAGACAGAGGGTAAGACTGAGCTTTCTGGAGTGCAGCGCTTGACTCGTCCTCCCTCCTCCTCCCTCCCTCCCTCCCTCCCGCCCTCCCTCTCTCTCTCGCTCTCTCTCTCTCTCTCTCTGCTCTCCCTCTTTCTCTCTCCCTCTCTTTCTGTGTGTATGTAGCGCAGGCGGCTCTGCTGCTGCAGCGCCAGGGAAGAGCTACCGAGAGAGGCTTCAGCAGCTCCCTCCACTTTGGGCAAACTTGCCGGTTTACTGCTTCTTCTTCTTCTTTTTTTTTTCTTTTTTTTTTTTTTTTTCCTTACGAGTGGGAAGCTTCTCAATTGCCATTCAACATTTTAAAGCACAAGCCGCTCTGCCGTGAAAGCGTCTGATCCACACTTCTCTGAAAGACACAGGAGGGAATACACAATTGCAGATTTCACCCACTGTGGCGGTGCAGATCACAGGAAACAACTGACTGATACAATTTTATTTGCAAATAGAACTCTGTATTTTTTTTTTTTTTAATCGCGTCGCGGCTCTTTTCCCCTCCCCTTTGCCATTCCGCTTTATATGGATGTAATTCAGAATCTGTGTTAATTCACATGGGGGATCCAGTTACATCTTGTTCCGCTCCGGGTATAATTACGAGAGACCAATAATCGCCTTTGGACACATAGTTTTGTTGCTAACCTTTGAACTGAAAGGATCAAGTTCAGATCTGGTTACCTGCATTGGGACGGGAAGGAAGAGGAGAGAGAGAGAGAGAGAGAGAGAGAGAGAGAGAGACTGCAATCTCATTTGTGAATCGCTCTCAGTGCTGCAGATCCAGATTGCTTTAACACATGCAGTGCAAATGCAGGTAAGGCACACACACAAACTGCGGATGCAAAAACAAACTTGGGACTGTTGTGTGTCTATGTTCTTATCTCCAGCCTTGCAAATTCTGGGCAAACGGCTTCTGCAGTTTCTGTATCGTTGCTTTGTGACTAATGACCTTGCGCAGAGTTGTTAAAAAAAAAAATCCGCTCCGGAGAAAGAGCTGAACATTTTAAGCGATCTCTGAAGATGGATTTGGGTGCTTTTCTGCCAACCAAAGGGGATATTCTGTGGACTGCACTGTAATACTCGGGGTTCTCCTATCAGCTGTGCAGCTACCGACATTATTGGGATTTTTTTTTTTACTTTTTTTATTTTTTTTATAAGAACTGCCCATTGCTAAGAGGATTTGGAGTTTTCCCGGACCCAAGCCCTTTGAATAAAGCAAATCACAATTTTTTTTTCCCCTGTGTGTGCAGAGAGGGGGAAGAATAAAGCTATTGCCTTGGTCGTAAACGGCTGAGAGGGAGAGAGAGAGAGAGAGAGAGAGAGAGAGAGAAAAGAGAGAGAGTGTGTGAATTGTAGTTAACTCTAGTGTTGAAGACGACGACCTGGGGGGCTTCGAATCGTACAGTACTGCTACTGCTTTTATTGCAAACCTTGCAAAGTGATTACAGTAAAATCAGAGAGGAGGAGGAGAAGGGGGAGGAGGAGGAAAATCCCATCCTATCTACTGAGATGAATCTTTAAAAAGCAAAATCCACTGTCCCGTGAACTGTAAGTATATCGGAACTGGAAGGCAGGGAGAGCAGCAGAGGAGCCAGCAGCAGGGTTTTGACCACCAATTGCACCAGTCATGAGACAATAAGTTTCCAGAAATAGAAGGATTTTATAACTGATCACCTGGACTCTCAGCCGCTCTGTTGGCTTACCAGGGGAGTTTATTGGGGGGCAGGTGGGAGTGAGAGGAAGGCGGGGGGGTTCGGTACGAGGAAGATGAGGAAGATGCGGACCCTCCTTCGCTTTGTGCATTGCTGCTGCTGCTGCTTCTTGCTCCTCCTGCCTCCGCCGCTCCGGGTCAGCCTCGCAGCGGCTAAGCAGCTCCTGAAGTACCGGCTGGCCGAGGAGGGACCCGCCGACATCCGCATCGGCAACGTGGCTGCCGACCTGGGCATCGTGACGGGCTCCGGAGAGGTGACATTCAGCCTGGAGTCGGGCTCCGACTATCTCAAGATCGATAACATGACCGGGGAGCTGAGCACCACAGAGCGGCGCATCGACCGCGAAAAGCTGCCGCAGTGCCAGATGATCTTCGACGAGAACGAGTGCTTCTTGGACTTCGAGGTGTCGGTCATCGGCCCCTCGCAGAGCTGGGTGGACCTGTTCGAGGGCCGGGTCATCATCCTGGACATCAACGACAACACCCCCACCTTCCCTTCCCCCGTTCTCACGCTCACCGTGGAGGAGAACCGGCCCGTGGGGACGCTCTACCTGCTCCCCACCGCCACCGACAGGGACTTCGGCCGCAACGGCATCGAGCGCTACGAGCTGCTGCAGGAGCCC